GGCCGGGCTTGTTGGATCCCGTGCAGATCTTGCGGTGTCCATCGTTGGCATGCGCGACCGTAGTCAGTGGGCTCAGTGGGGCTGCCGGCGAGCGACAGCACCTGTAGTAGAAGTAGAGGTGAGTGCATTGCGTCGTTGGCGATGTCGTGCCCCGACGAGTGGGCGTATACTGGTCGTTTATATAGCGGGCACAGTGTGTTCCCGCCGAAAAGCGTCGACGATCCAGGTTGCCATCCGTGTTGGAAGGGTGGCTCCACTTTTGGCCAAGTTTGCGATGGAGCAGGCGGCCGGGCTTGTTGGTTCCCGTGCAGATCTTGCGGTGTCCATCGTTGGCATGCGCGACCGTAGTCAGTGGGCTCAGTGGGGCTGCCGGCGAGCGACAGCACCTGTAGTAGAAGTAGAGGTGAGTGCATTGCGTCGTTGGCGATGTCGTGCCCCCTTGGGAATCTTGGGTATGCCTGGCTTTTGGCTTACGAAAGTAAACGAAACATGACTATTGACAAAATTCTCGGCAAAGAACTTAGTAAATATATATATTACTCTGTCGCTATTATGGACTACTCACACGGTTCATAACAGTTGTAGCTTTGCTGAAATGAAGTGTCAATAAATATCTATAAATGACGTGTAGAAGCATATATGGGTTTTACGTGCCGAAATAAAGCATACTTTTCAGAATCACTCACTCATTGTGCTAAAATTGTTTTTTCCGTGGAAAGTTTATTTTTTACATCCATATTTTACCTAAAAGATAACATTGAGGTTGAGCGTTTTTTTGCGTTTTTTTTTTGTTTGTTGTTCCGTTTTTTTTTTCCTGGCTTTCAGCAATGGATTAGAAGGGTTGCAAGATGAACTTGTCAGGTCACAGTGAGTCATTTTCGCAATGCATCTACTTCTACCTTTATATTCCCTTTTCATTGTAGTATCATATGTCCCATCCGCGCGGGAGTCCGATGAACTAGCTTTTGCAGTTAATGTAATGCCATTACAACAGAAAAGAAACACCTGTCGTCTCGCTTGTGTTCAAATAATTTTTTTATGACTTGATATTACATCCGCTTATCTGCGCGCCAGACAAAATGATTAAGAGCTTGAGCTAGTATATCTTTGCAGCAATCTACGCCGACGTGGCTACAGTGCCTGTGATGAAGACGCATTTTCATAACGGATATGGACTGGCGTAAATTTCTTTTCAACTCTCGTCGTGAATAATTTGCCGATCAGTGTTTTCTTTCGAGGTAAACTTTTGCGACTGTATTTGCATGCCGGAATTTGCTACGACTGATATAAGTGTTCTCCGCTCCGGAAAACGTTTTCAAATTCCTCGGCATCCAAACTCAAAAGGCAAAGAACTTGAGGTAGGTTTAATACGACTCTCTCTGCAAAGCTCTTTGTGTTGGACCAGTTCAATATTTGGGGCATCGAACGCTGATATATTTTTCTGGTTGCAAAAATAGAGTAGGTTAAAGCAAAAATTAAAAATTTGTTTATGTTATGTCAAAGGTAAAGGCTAATAATGTATTATCTTTATTATTGTATTCTTACATATCTCAACATATATCGCGTATCCAAAAGTTTACAATAGAACACCGATTACGCGTCCATCAAAACCAAGAAGAAATTTCCGATAAAAGTAGCAGATCAAAGCTCTCAAGTGAAATGAAATTTATGGCATGTACAAAGTTAAACGACGCCAAAACGAATAGGTGATTGTTAGTTTATTTAATTTTCTGCCTTGAATGCGAGGCGTCCCTCAAAACTACGAGTTTGTTGGAATACACTGACCTGGTGCAAGCCGTCAGAAGCCAAAATTCCATGTTAGATAGTGGCATTTTGTAAATAGGATGCAAGTAAATTTTATGGGCTGCTATTCGAGAAGAAATCGCCCTTTGATTCTGGCGCACATACACATTCAGTAACCCCGTAAAATTTGTTCATGCATCCGTTTTGATCCTTCGTTTTTTGTAAATCATTAGACTTCCTCCCAAGTGGCACAGTAAAAATAAACGTGCCGATTTTTTTTTTAAAGAAACTTGTTGTGGCATATAGAAGAAGAGATACAACATTTTGTTGAAAAAGATAGGCTAGGGCTATCTAACCTCACAGGAGCACCTGAATCTAGTGTATAAAAATTGAAAAGCGCGAACACCAAGGAAAAAAATAGGGGACAAGACAGGGCGCTTAATCCAACTGGAAGTTTAATGCATTACCCGAGGAGGACATAAGATAAGAATCAGGCATGTGAAGGTAAAAATGAAGAAGAAAAACTATTGTTATAGTTTATAGATGCATTAAAAAATTTTAAACTATATCTGACTTCACCCCTTGACACTAGCGAAAAAATTCAGAAGTATAAACCAAATCAGCAGGTCAAAGATAAGGTTAAAAACATTAAAGCGACCCGCGTTAAGAAAAAAGGTCGAGGTATCTCATCTCTTTCTCGGACAGCGCTATTGATGGTGCGCTTATGCAAGCTCCCCCGAGTGACAATATGGTCTTCGCTTCATAGAGTTCTCCCGATCTTTTTTATGGTAATGCTTGAGGATCTTAGTCTGTTGGAATATGGGTGTGCAGTGGCAGTCCCGGATATGTATGGCGAGATGTCCCGATGGTGATGACTTCAGAGAAAGGTGATGCTCTCGAAATCCCCTGTAACTAAGTGCCTGCATGCTGAACATCCGCTTGGACCCCAACTGCAGCTGCAACCCAATAAAAGCCGCGTAACCAGTTATGGCTGCGTAACAGCCAGCCCAGCGGCCCAGCAGCTAGGCCCGGTTCGTTAGAGCGAGACCTCTTCCTCTGGCCGTCGTATCGGCGCGGCCACGGAGGAGGGTTTCGCGACATGATTCCCGGTTGAACTGTAATCACAAGTGTCGGACAAAATCACTAATACAAGCACATCAACGCGAACAAAGACTCAATAATTTTCCGACGCAGCTCTGCAGGCGACGTCTCCGTTGGCAAGATGTCGCGCGTCCTCCGCTGTGTGTCCCCTGTTCCGTGCCAACCATTGCTCCCAGCGCTCAAGACAAACCGTTAGCGCAAGCACAACAGGAAAGATGAGAGCTGTGAAAGGCGCGTCAAGGCTGAGCCTCCCTCCCCTCCTGAACTCTAAGAAGGGCGAGGGAGCGCTGACGTTTCGGCCGCCAATCAGACAGCGCGTGATATACGAGGGGTGATCAGAAAGTCTAGTAAGTCGCATATAACGAAAGCTATCAGGTCTTTGAAAAGAAAATATTTTAACATAATCCCCCCTCACACTAATGCACTTCTCGTCAAGCCACTGCTCTGTGGCACTGCGCAGTGCGCTCGAGTCTTCGAACCTTGTTCCTTTTAGGGTTTTTTTCATATTCGGGAATAAAAAAAAGTAACTATAGTGGCCAGATCAGGCCTTTAGGGTGTTTGGTCTAGCTCTTTGAAAACACACTCTCGAATGACAGCCTGGGCAACGCGAGACTTGTGAACGGGGGCGTAGTCATGCAGGAGGAGGACGCTTCTTGTCACCAATCCTCATCGTTTTTCCACAATAGCCTTACGCAGTTCGCGGAGAACGCTGGCATAGTATTCACTGTTATTGTCGCGGTGTTTTTCATAAAATCAATCAGTAGGATCCCCTTTTGCCTCCCCCAAAACTGTCGCCATCACTTTCTTCCCCGAGCGTTGCGTCTTGAATATTTTCGGAGGGGGGACCCTGGATGCCTCCACTGCATACACTGCTTTTTTTGTTTACGGGTTCCACTGGTAAAGCCACGTTTCATCCCCAGTCACAAGGCACGCGAGAAAATATTCTGGGTCGCTTTTATAGATGCTCAAAAGCTCCCTTGAGAAATACAAGCGGTGCTGTCGATCTTGCGTAGAGAGGTTTCGTGGCACCCATTGTTCCGAGACCTTAGACATACCCAAAACGCCATGGATGGTCGTGAAAGCACTGCCATATAAAATGATCAGTTCTGTAGCAACTTGGGATACCTTAATTCGGTAATTCTTTATGACGAGGCTCTTAGTCCAGGCTGAATGATCCAAATCAGTTCAAGTGCTGGGCCGTCCTGACCTGGGGTCGTCTTGCACGTGAACACGTCATCCCAGCTGCTCGTTATCAGGCAAAATGTGACTTTACGTCACGTTAATACTATCCGGGAACTTCATTGAAGATGCCAGGTACGAATAAGTAATTTGTAGTACAAATTACATATTTTTTAAAGTAACTTCAACACAAAGCATTCAAAAATGCTTTCTTCCACTTCTTTATTTTCATGCTAGATATGTGGTGCAAAGCGTCATCCTCATAAATTTCGTGTCTGAAGAAAAAATAAAAAAAGCCCGTGACAATATATTCAATAATTATATAATTTAATAACTTACACTTAAATATTCTAGCTTTCCCTGGAGTTCCTGAGCATCATGGGGTAATGTTGAAAAGCTAATCATGAGTATGCACTTTCGAGTTATTTTACTAAGTTACAACTATCGTCTTTTAGCCATTCAAGATTAGCTCCATGAGTCCGGAGGGCTAACATGCCCAACAATAATTTATCACGCGTCAATCAAGTCAGAACACCAAAGGGGGAGGGGGCGGGAGAGATTACTAAAGCGTGGCTGCGGGATCGGGTGAGCTAGGAAATCCGGCAGCCATAACCAAGTTGTCTTAAATTCTGAAGTAAAATAAAATCAACACCTGATTGATGGAAAAAAAACATAATATTTCTTGTGTGCCACGGAGATTATCATCATGTGTGCCACAGAGATTATCAAGTGAAATATTGACAGTGAAATACGTGCCACGGAGATTAACAACTAAAATATTGCTAGTAAATTTGAAGTGTTTTGTACTTATCATTTGGAAAGCGTGAACTGTGAAGCGAGGTTTCGTCACCTGAGTAGAGATATTCACTATATATTCATTTTTTTTACCCCATATTCACAGAGGATCGTGGGCGGAGTCGCAAGACGTACTAAAGAAAAAGTGACAGGCTGGTCGCGGATGAAAGTAATTTTACAGGATGGAAGTCTGCGTCAAACTTTCCAACGGCCCTTCGTATGTGGACGTGGACGGCGTCAGAGTGCATTCAGGGTACAGCCCAGAAGCTGTCCGCTCGGCCATTCTGTACGAACCTTCACCCGAGGACGTGTTTGTGGTTACTTATCCAAAGGCAGGAACCACATGGGTTCAGCAAATCGGATATCTTATCTTAAATAAGGGAGTTCCCGCTTGCAACGCTTTGGATTTCCTCAGAAGTAGCCCCTTCCTCGAGATGTCTGGAGCAACTGTCATGAAACAATGGACAAGACGTGGTTTTATCAAGACGCACCTTCCGTACAGTCTCCTTCGGAAACATGCCAAAGCGAAGTACATATATGTCTGCAGAAATCCAAAGGACGTCTGCATCTCCCTGTTCCATCACACACGTCTCTTTAACGCTTACGAGTTCGCCGATGGAATGTTTGAAGATTTTTTTGAGGCGTTCTTAAAGGGAGACACCGACTACGGGGACTTCTTCGAGCACGTACTGTCTTGGTACAAGCACCGCAACGACCCGAACGTCCTGTTTCTTCACTACGAAGAGATCAAACTAAACCTCAGGCAATGTGTCGTGAAGATCGCAAAGTTCATGGGTGAAGAACATCTCGAGTTGCTTCTGAATAATGAGGCAACTCTGGAAAACGTGTTGCGCTACAGCGGCATTGAATACATGAGGTGGCAGGTTGAACATCTCTTCTCCCATCTCTATAAGAAGGATCTTGTTTCTGAGAAGCGTTCAGTTGGTTCGCAAGATTGCGACAAAAGGCGTGCTTTTGTAAGAAAAGGAATTGTCGGCGACTGGAAAAATTATTTCAACGCCGATATGAACGCAAGAATGGAAGAGAAGATAAACCGAATGTTGTCGAGCACTGATTTAGTCGATTTCTGGAGAGACAATGGCGTTCTGTAATGTGACCTGTTGAAACACTGGGACACCAATAAAATATTCTCATCGCTCGTTCGGTTGAAACTACTTACTTATCGAACCGCGCTGTATTCTCCCTACACCAGCTAGAAAAGTAAAGGCCTGTGAACAAAAATTGTGTCTTCATCACAATGAAATCGGGCGAACACAGTGACTGGACACGAGTGCTGCGTCAGCGTTTGGCTGGGTCTCGTGTCCAATGAACGCGTCGAAGGATGCTCGGCATCGTGCTCGGGTCCAGTAAGTGAGTTTGTGTCGTCCAACTACGACGGCATTTCATGGAGGAAGAGGAGGATTTTGTTAGACCTCGATTATTCTAGGTGGTGTTGTCTCTCCTCTGGGCAGTTCGTGTTCTTAAAAACTTAATCCTGGGTCAAGTTATTGTTACGTAAAATCTGTTAATGTAGTGTCCCGCGTTTTCTGACAAAACTGAAAACAGCGAAAAAAAATGCGCCGGTAAAGTGTTTAATTTGGATTTATTCGATAAACTCCGAATTGTAATGATGAAGAACTAAGAAGAAAGAAGAAAAACTCGGTATTTTACATTGAAGTTTGATGAGCGCGCACGGTCAGCGGTCCTGGGAAAATTTCATCAGTTATCTTTGAAATCTCGGACCATTCTTAAAATGGGTCTTACCGCTTATCTCGTCAAGCTTTATTCAGGAAAGCAGGTCGCTGGACTTTCGGGCCACGACAAAAGCCTTTGTTTGGGTTTTCCAGTTGGGCCATACTATTTTTGCTTTAAATGTAAGATAGGTTGTGTTTTCGTAACAGTGAAAGCTATGGTCCACAAAGATTGCATCAAATAGGAAAGAGGGGCATTTGAAACTCCTCAAGTACATCCGTTATCGCCTCGCGCGGCCGCGGGGTAGGGTAATAGGATGGGATGATATGAAAACAAGCTTTCCGATATTCACCTCCAGGAGTTCATTGATTTTTATGTATCGACATATGTATCGAAGCAAATATTTTCTGCAACTTTTGTCGTGTAACAAATTAGTATTGCCAATGGCTAACGGCACCAACGCCATAGCCAGCTGAATAAAAATAATTTGATACAAGGGCTTATATCTCTTTTTATCTAGCACATGTTTCCCGGCTATCATTACTTTTATTTTAATAGAAAGCAATGCAAAATAAAACTCCTTATTTCAGAGAATTGTGAAGGAAACAAAAATAAGCTGCGGTAAACTATTAACGTTCGGTTAAACACAAACTTCGAAAAGCACCTTCGAAATTTGACAAAAAATGCACTCCGAAGACACGGCATCCTAGTTAGTATGGCATCTAACTGTATCCGCTTTGACGCTTCAGTGGCGGATGGAACCATACGAGTATTGTGTAAGCGTTCGGCTGGAACTCGCGTCCTCCCTGACTGAATTCGAGCGCGGAATGACACGAGCGCTGACGCGGCCCTCGAGTCTTCAATAAGTGTACACGAGCCCCATCCGTACGCTGCCACAAAATGGGCGTCCAAGTTCTGTACCGCGCTGGTCACTGATAACTGCCCTACACCTTAAAAAAAACTGGTTCATGAAAGGTTTACGACGCCCCAAGAGCATTTTCATCTCGTGAGGAAAGGTCTCGTCCACAAGCACTATCGCCCACTGGTGCACCAGAAGGCAAGGTGGCGTTGAAGAACTATTTGCATCTTCAAAGGAGCTAAAAAGAACCCCTTATAGGTTTCTTACGAGGGACCCTTTTAGAGGTGTTTAAAAGAAGGTTTTAGGGTCCAAACATTGCACAAGCCGAAAACAGCTAAGAGTTCTTTTACGACCAGATTTGTTTTTAAAATTGTACATCCTAAAAATATCTACTGGTTGTTCAGATACTATGTTCTCAATCCTTTAGGATACTTACTGTAGCTGAGTTTCATTTAGCCTCGTTTTACCCTGCCTTCACTGAGCTTGTTTTCGTTCGGGCGTGTCAAATTTAATCTTAATTCTCTTGTGGTGACTTCCTAGACTCTACTTTCATTCCTTCTAATTTGTTGCACAGACTGTGCGACGTTGGAGAATAGTCAATGTATCGACTAAGAATTGTTTCCCCACATCTTTATCTGCCCATCGGATATTACTTGGGCATTAACAAACACTAGATCCAGGGCATCGCAGAACTCTTCTCACGTATTTCCTATTCCATTCGTAAATCCGCCAAAATGTTCTAAGTGGGTATTCATATCTTCTATAATAATTATTTCCTGATTGAGCCCATTTTCTTTGACGTCGATGGACCTGTGCTGAAGGAAGGGCTTTCGTTTCGGCGTACCGCGTGAGATAATCTGTGGCGACGATGATCCAGCATTTTCGTACTCTCTAGTACACTTTCGATCCCTTTTCGTACTCTCTAGTACACGAGAGCCAAGTGCCTCAATGCTGCTGGACTAGCACCCGTCTCAAAGGGGGGACAACTCTGTCATTCATAGAGCCCTGCATATTATGCATAACTGCGGATTATCCGTGAATCATGCGAGGATATCTGCAGTCAACTGGCGGATGGGGAAAAACATTAATCAGATTTGGCGGAATGGGGATTGGATGTGGATTTTGGGGGTTGCGGACGCGCGTCGGATGCGGATATCCGCGGGTGCGGTTATACATCTTTGCTGAGGAGGTCCACACACGCTGAATGAGTTGGCCCACAATGTTTAGTGTGAATAAATAAGTGAAACTGTGAAGTGGGTCATCGAATGTTTCGCGCAAGCAAATTACTGACTCAGAAAAAAGGAGCCAGTCGGTGAGAAAAGTGTTCTTTACGCCGAAAAAAGAACTGTTTCTTGTCAAAAACCGATTTATACCATTCTATTTCGGCCTAAGTGCTTGGGCTATCTTGGGCCTAATTTTACTCAAAATGTTATCCACTGTAAAAGTAAAGCCTGCAGGGGCATCAATCGTCCTGGGAAAGCGTGTTCCTTTTCTTTGGCATATAAAGAGCGGAAAGCGTTCTTTGTCAAAGGAAACCCAAATTGTACTAGAAAAGAAAAACGCGGTCTGTCTGCTTTTTTTTTTGTAGTTGGAGATTTGTTGATAATTATGTGGTTCGGGGTTGTGGTTAAAATGTTAACCTATAATAGGTGTTCTCATTATTGAATATTGTAATATTTTCAAAGTGGTGTACACGCGTCTTGCCACGTATTTACGAGTACTTCGCTGCTCACTTTTTTATTGCTTGACCTAAATGATATGACAACGTTATTAGACTGTTCTTTATTAATGTTCATGGTTAAAATATACGCGTCTGTTTGGAGTAAGTGTCACAAGAAAAGAAAATAGATGAAAGTGTCCATCCATTTGAGCATATCTTCCGGGCAGAATGCCGTAGACTCCGAGGACGACTTAATAACTGCGATCATCTTTCCAGCGACGCGAAGTATCTCTGCAAAATTGATCGATTATAATACAAATACATTAAAATAATATACGATGAAATGACTCTCACCATAATCTCACTCGAAGAGTTCTTGTACATTGTCAAGCAGATGGCGTAACCGCCATCTGCGCTGCCTCTAATGGTGATCCGGTGACATTGCCAGTAGAGATAATTACCTTTGCAATTAATGCTTCATTTTATTACCGATTCAAGGCAGTTGATTCAGGAAGCATCTTCTTCAAATAAATTATCCCAACAACGGCGAGAACTTCCCAATGCTGCATTTTTACGGGTGCAAGCCGATCCAGTGTAATCCCGTCTACGAGGTCAACACCAACGTTTTGAGATCAACCGTTGAACTTGTAGCCTTGTTCAAGACATTGCGGGAGGGGAATGGTGGCCGCAGCCGAAGAGGCGGCATTTACCCTCCCAATCATGTCGCCAATCTAGCAAAGCACAACCAGCAAGCAACACTGGTAAACTCTGCACGAGGTAATGTGGCGCCTAGACAGATTGTCTTCGTGCTAAAAACGGGCTTGAGGGGGGCCCCATTTCTCGTGCGAAATATAAAAATGTAAATATAAATAAAATATAGCTCATTGATATTGCTTACTGTAGGAACGCACACCACGCTCAATTTAGTACAATCAAAACAATATGTAGATCGCATGTCAATTGCCTACTAAACTGAAACCCAACTCGGAGCTCCCTGCGGGAACTGGTGAACCTCGGCGCACCTTCGACGCTTCCTCCATCTGTCGGCATTACGTGCAGACAGATAGGATCGCACCGCCGGCTAGATTATGCTGTAGATCGCCCAAAAGAGGTCCCTTTTATTTCATGAATTAGAAAAATTCATATTTTTATATTTGCACACTAATGACTTACCACCTACCCGCAACTCCCGCACCTCAATACAAGGTCAATCCGAAGCACACTACGGTCGGTTTGTTTACGGTCAGTTGAGGTCAGTTTAGAATAAGTTTAATCCATTGAAACCACACTGCAGATGAGTTCATTAGTGCCAGAGCAGCGATTCGGATATATTAGAGCCTGGCTGTAATAAAGCTTTCTGCGCTACGGGAGGACCTACCGTAGAAAAGGCGCTTTGTTACACTTTACAAGGGGGATCTGACTAGGCCATGCCGCCACGGCCCATCCTCTAAAAGTTTTTCCTACCCGTTGATAAACGTGTTAAAATATTAATATGTTACAATATATTAATTCAGGCTGTGATGTTTGTGCCGGTATTAATCCACTCGGTCTTGTAAATCAAAAGGCATAATACAGGACCACAAGTAATTCATTTGGCTGCCTAACCTTAGCTTTGGCCGAAAACCCTGATTTAATTTTGGTGTCGGGTTGAAAGAGAGACCTTCACTGAGGAGTCTGTTTAATAATTATTTGCCCTTGCTGCGGGTGCCCATGAACACTGCTGACTTCTATGTAGGCAATTTCGAGTGGCTTATGTGATGTCAAAACTATCGGGGTTTAATGCCTTCTTTCCTGGACAATTGGAGGGACCAAGTTTTGTTTACATTTTAGTATCAGGAATTGAGGGCCGATCGCAGTTCGCTTGCTCTCTACTTTTAGCCTTCATGTCCTTTGAGTATTTT